CTTTATCTTAGGATAGACAACTACAGAAAGCATCTCAGTTGTTGAATTCTGATATCACGTTTTCTACCTCTTTATCTTAGGATAGAAAATATTCAAGCAAGTATTTGGTCTTCTACAATAAAGGACTGCTCATATGTACATCTTTATAAAACCACAACTACCTTAATTTTTGTATCTGTATTGTAACTTACAACAATATAAATTAATCTTTAACTTGTTTTTGTCTAAAGGTTTGATACTATTCATTTTTTTAAAAAATAGGCACACTTGAAAAAAACTAAAATAAAACTAAATAAGCTGTATAAATTCAGGTTTCACAGATCACTCTGCTAACAACTCCAGTGTTCTCATGACAAATGATAATAGGCACCAGGAAGTTATTTGCAGGTTGTAATTTAATATGGTTCTCATTGAAACTACCATGATTTAAAGCCATTGCAATCTTGTAATTTATGCTATCACCTCAAATTTTTGATGAACCTACAACTTTATAATTAATCTAAGGAATCCATTATTTTCCATGTCTGTCAAAACTAAATTTTAGCTCATAATATACATTTTGAAAGAACCCAGCTAAGAGCTGAAAAGAATAAAATTTAGTTTTAGGCTTTGTTAAATACTGACTTATTTTTATGAGTAATTGAAACAAAGACAAGTCGCAATGCATCACCGTAAGCAAACAACTCCTCGGGCTGTGCTTTTAGAATCAATTTCTATAATTTTAATAAAATTCTTTAATTATTTCCATTAATTATCTACCTTCCATTCAAGTTATTGTGCACCTAATTAAAGAAATGTAACTGGGTACCTTTGTAGAGGATACAAAGGCACGTGTCAAAATATTTCAAGGAGTTGACTAATATATGATTTAGATATTTAATTGCACATAAGGGTACAAAGTGGTAGGTTATGTGCATTTTATTCCATTCTGGAGTGCCACCCACCATATTGGATTGAGATGTGCAGATCTTATGTCGGAAGTTGGCACGCTGCTGTATTGAAAGCCCCTTTAGTGTGTGTGCAGTTCAAGATCAATTGGGACAAATGTAGCTTGAGTTATAGATTGTTTTAGTTTGTCTTGAGAGTGCTTTAATTCTTTTTGTGACGTGGCTAATGATGGCAGAGCTGAGATGCTCCAGTTCTTCTGTTCACCCCTTGTGTCATAGCAGATCACAATATTACTGAGAAAGAGTCTAACTGGACTCAAAATGTTAACTCAGTTTCTTTCTCCACAGATGCTGCCAGACCTGTTGAGTTTGTCCAGTACTTTCTGTTTTTATTGCAGAATATTACTAACTTGGCTTTATTTCTACTTCTGTAAACTTATTTCTGTAAACATTTCAATAAACTGAAGGAAATCTGAATATAAATGATTGCTATTTGGATGCTATTATGGCCACCGTCATTTTTAAGAGACGTGAGCTTTTTATATTAAGCTTTATACTGAGCAGCTGCAACATAGAACCAAGCCCAGGAGTGGCTAGAGGAGGGGTTTTTTTTGCCTTTATAAAGTGCTATTACTGATTTAATTGTATGCTTGAATTCTTTGCTTGAAATCTTTTACTCTCTCTAATGTTGTGTTTGGAGATGGGGGAGGACATTAAGTCAAGCAGGAGTGTGGCTAGTGAGCATACTCCAGGTTCCTGCCCCTACCACAAAAGTTGGTCTTCCCAACCTGCTGCCAAAGTGGGCAATTAATGACCAATGAAGGGCATATTCTGCTGCTGCTAATGTCAAGCTTACTATAGGTGGGCCTGTCACAACAATTAAACTAATGCAGGCTGCTTGTTATCTCCCCTGACAGAGGATGGAGTCTCTGATTGAGTGAACCAGTATAAGCAAGGATAGGAGGGGTGCTGAAGAGCTACCTAGCTGCTGACCGCCTCCTTAACTCTGCAACTCCAATACCGCAAACCACTGAGTTCACTAATCTCTGACCTGGGTTTCTTTCCAATCCTGGCCCTCTGTTGGCTGTTGTTCCAGTAGCAGCCCCCACCTCCATGCTGATACTGCCAAGCAAAAGACCTGCTAGCTGCTGAATTGTCAGCAGCTCTTGGTGGGCGGGACCTCCTGCCACTGGCTCCTGGTTGTGGGAAAGGCTTCCAATGGCCTCTCAAATACCTAATCGGTGCATGGTTCAATGGACTTTCCCCAAAGGAGGCAACACTAGGTTGGGATTGTTTTCGCTGGAGTTCAGATGAATGGGGGAGGGGATCTCATTGAGACTTACAAAATTCTAACAAGACTGGTCAGGGTAGATGCAGGGAGGATGTTCCTGATGGTGGAGTGAACAGAACCAGGGGTCACAGTATGAGGATTCGGGGTAGACAATTTAGGATGGAGATGAGGAGACATTCCTTCACCCAAAGAGTGGTGAGCCTGTGGAATTCATTACCACAGAAAGTAGTTGATGCCAAAACATTGAATGTAATCAAGAGGTGAGTAGATATAGCACTTGGGGTGAATGGGATCAAAAGTTATGGGGAGAAAGCAGGATTAGGCTACTGAGATTGACAATCAACCATGATCATGAAGAATGGCAGAGCAGGCATGAAGGGCTGAATGGCCTCCTCCCACTTCTATCTTCTATGTTTCCATGTAACATGCTGCTCTCCAGCTGACAGGTGAGACCCCTGTCATCTCCAGAAGGTTCCATCCATTGATACAACTGATTTTCCTGCAAGTTGTAGAAAAATATCATGTTCTTATCCAGATAAAGTTCTATAATATTGCATGAATACAGTATGAATGCAGCCAATGAGTACCCAAGGCAACCTAACAAGTTCAAGCTAAGAATTACATCTGTTACTTTTTTGACCAGAAAACAGGTAGCTAACGTTAACAGAGGAAAGCCCAATTTATTGTGCAGCAAGAAAACATGGTGCTGGACAGTAGGGTAGGCAGTGCTTGAGGGCAGCATACACTTGAGTGTTGGGCACCTTTTTTGGTGAAATGTATATGCACCAAGGATAGCTTCAGGGAAAGGAACTAAATTATATATACATATATATACAATGTTAGGTATAAAACAAAAGTTGCTGGCTGTGCAGGAGAAACATTTGAAGAAGTACTGAACTGGGTAAACTCAAATTGAGATGTATCGACGTCAAGTTGATTACTTTTGTTAAGTCAGTACTAAATTAGTGTTTTAGATCATAACAGTGGTAGAGCAGAGGAAATGCCTAATTATAGCAGGGGCTTCAATAATTTGAGTTTACCTAAAGCCAAATGCAGCTGAAAAGATCATGCTAAGCCAGGGAATCTGTCAGTTCACTAGACTCCTTTTCCTAGTGACAGAGTTATATCTGTTCTGTGTAATTCAAAAGATGGTTGTCAAATTCATTTTCTGTGATACACAAATGTATAAGGGCTGATAAGGTCTAATTTCTGTTTTCATTTCAAAATTGCACGACAGAATTTATAACATGCTGCCAGAGGTGAAAAGAAAAAAGGAGGAAGAGAAGAAGAAAATTATTTCTCAAACAAATCGATTGCGTGCTGAGGTTTTCAAAAAGGTACGAAGGCCAAAAGACACTTAGTAGTCAGCATCCATCTCACTTTGCTGATGTTAATTTTTTTTATTTCTTCTAGAAATTGCTTGACCAAATACTGCAGAGAAACAGTGACAATGGGCAAGAATCAGCATGAAGAACCATTACCTGAGGCTTCCAGAGAAATGTTATCTATGAAGCCACTTCAATTTACTAAAATGCTAATTGCTCATAAACCCACCCTATTAGGTTTGAATCCATTGGTTTTTAAGTTGCAATTTTTCTGAATCTGCATGGAGATTCATAATTTGTGAAACCATAGTTCAACATTTTTTCACAGCACTTGCAGGGAGGGTTAATTAGTTCATTAGACACAGCTGCAATTACAACAGAAATAATGCATGTTTAATAGTTATACATTTCATTTTATTTTCATCCACTGGAATCAGTTCAACCAGGGTTCCTGCCTGCTCTTGATGGCTTTGGTCACAGTTCTGAATGTATTTTATGACTTTTTTTAGTCTCAGAGTCAGATTAAGAAGTCGTGGACCCCTGAAGCCCTCCCTTGGTCTACTGTACCACATTTATGCAATAAAATATATGGTGAAACTGGACTGTAGAAGTTTGACACACTATTTTAGTATAAAAGCAAACAATATCACAAATATAATTAAATGAATCTGTAACATTACAGACAGACCCCATCTTGGTACTTAACTCTAGCCAATAGATCATATTTGGTTGAGACCCTTATAAGCCTATAGAGGTGCATTAATGTGTCTCTTGTTGGTTGACGGTCTCAATGTCAGACATGATTTGAATTGTTGGACAAACCTCTAGCAATAGTTACAGATTATTTAGCATTTATTCATTTGTAGATGGAAGCCAAACGTCAGCCATTCTATTTGGAATCAACCTGTAGAATTTTTTGATCATCTTTGTGAGATCCTGAAAGACCTTCCAAAGTGATTGGATGCAGGTTCAGAACCAAAAGGTGTAGGGAAGAATATACATCTAACCTCACACTACAGCAGTGATCAGGAAGGGATAGTGACATTTGTGAAGCTTGGTAATCTTTACAGTGCCTGAACATAAGGATACATAAATGAGAAGGCATAAAGGTGTGGAGAACGACTCAGAAGAATATGCCCTTGGGCACAAGTACTAATTTGAGGATTCATTATTTCAGTTTTTCTATGCTCCATCTTTTTGAAAATTTCAAGCATTTTTGCTAAACTAAATCAAACCAGTTTGAAACCATATAGGCATATTATACATCTATAAAACAATATACTTCATATATTGAATTAATCTGCTCCATTTTTTACAGTTCTGTAATGGCCTGGTACAACAATTATTAATGAATAGTCTTTGCATAGAGCTCAGTGTAGCAAATCATAGTTAACAAAACAAGGTTTGTAATAATTGTATATAACTTTGAATCGTCTAAACCAACAGCAATGTGAAAAATCTTAATTGATCAGAGTTTAAAATTGCAAAACTAATCGAAAAAAATCAGTAATTTAATCATGTATTTGGGTATTTTGAATTTTAAGTTATACTTCACTGCCAGGGCAACTGTTAGCATTTGTGAATCACACCAAATAGCATTAAAAGATGATTAACTGCTAACCTTTAATTTTCCTTCCTGTTTGGATTAACTACCCAAAAAATATTATGTAACTAGATTTTATTTTTGTTTCATTTAATTAAAGACTATATAATGCTCTTTTCTATAATGTCACAGTCCCTCTGCCTTTAGTAGTCTTCTTACAAGTGAAAAATAATTTGAAATAGTCATATTGTGAAAGAAATAAAGCCAGATTAAATACTAACACTGGCTGTGTGATAATACAAGTAATGCTCATTCTACGTTCATTCTTTAATTATGCTTATTGTTCAGCCAAACTGTTACATTATTACATAATAATAAACCATTGTTTTGTTCTGCCGTATCTGTAATTTTTAAATTAAAATTATTACAGTTTATAAATACAAGATATAGCTCTAATTTTGGTACTGCACATTTGAATTTATACCACATTTCTAGGCAAATATAATTGGAATAACAATTGCCTTTCCTCCCAGAAGTAAAGGTACATGATACGTGTAGTGCCTGAAACATTAGTACAAAAAAAAGTGCTGTATTTTCTCCCTTGTTATACAACAGGCATACAATGTATATATTGACAAGGCTGTTTTTTGTTAAAGAAACTCCGACTGCTGTGTTAGAGGTTCTCAATAGCCATGTGTTTTCTTTCTTTTCTTCTCCTTATTTCTTGACAATGTTGAATCATATGAAGTATGGGTCCAGAAGTGCTGACAGCCCTTTGGTATCTGACCCAAATGATCTTTCTTCTTCTGTGCATTCAGTGTCAGCAAGCTATTTAACAGTCTAATCCTGTCTACATACAATGTCCAGACAAGCATACACATGTTTCCTGCAGATGTGGCTGAATGACATTCAGGAACAGGATCAGCCACAGCATCTATTTTTCTCTCCCTAATCCATGAGTATTAATGCAATATGTAGTCTTCTATCATTGTCTGACAATTAGCCATCTTAGCAAAAAAGGGTTCAACTAGGACCTCTTGATTGTTGCAGCACAGTAATATACCACATATGCAGGATTAGAGAAAGTGACAGAATGTTTCGTTTAATAAAAAGGATTTTACAAATGATTTAAGGGTGGGTGAAAAATAGACAAGCGGCATTTGGTAGGGAATTTTAAAGCATGGAATTGAATTGGTGACACTATCATTAATAGCTGCATGAAGTGAGGAGTTGGGGAAATTGGGAGAAGTTGCTATGACAGGAAGGACCTGTCCCCAGAAGGTGAGGGTGTTGCCTTTGACAAAATAAATGTGGCATCAAGAAACCCAAGCAAAACTAATGTCAATGATAATCAGGGGCATACTATCCGATGATTGAAATCATACCTAGGAGGATAGTTATGGTTACTGGAGGTCAATCATCTTATCCAACAGGCATTGCTGTAGGAGTTTCCTAGCCCAGTGTCCTAGGTCCAAACATCTTCAGGTACTTCAAACTTTCTAAAATATACAAAAAGGTGACAAATTACTCGGGTAAAAACATAGGGTCTGTGTATGACTATGAGAATAACTTCATGATCATTCACAGACCATGAGCAATCTAACCACAAAATTTGGAGAATGTGTATAATTTAGTCCTGATGCTGGGGGCCATTAAGAGATACAGTCATAGTAGTTTAATCTTGTTAGTTTTCGCTTATGTGGAATTGTTTATTTTCTTCTTATTTAATCTCATAATGCACAAGTATTATACATTTACCACTAGCAGACAGTCCTCTTTCCCCTTCTCCCACTGGAGTGGAACTATCTGTTCTTTCCAGTTTGGCAGTTAGACATGCCATTGTTCTGCCATTCTCACATTTTGATCAATTAATCCACACTAACAGCAGTCTTTCTCTCCGAGCACTCCCCCCAAACCCCCATTATTGCATAAATGCTGTCCCCTCCACACTTCACATCATCTCTGATGAAGAGTCATCTAGATTTGAAATGTTAGCTTGCTGCCTTTCCATGAATGCTGCTTGACCCACTGTGATTTCCAGCACTTTTTGTTTTCAGTACAGATTCCAGCATCTGCAGTAATTTGCACCTTCCTTCCATATCTTTGTAATCTTAGAACTCAAGTAGCAAAAGTACGGTCACCATTTAAAAATAAAGGGTCATCGATTTAAGATTGAAATGAAAAAATTTCTGTCTGAGAGTCATGAGTCTTTGGAACTCTCTTCCTTTAACAGGAAGTGGAAGTAAAATGTTTGAATATTTTTAAGACAGAGTGGATAGATTCTCAGGAAGCAATGGAGTCAAAGATTATCAGGTTTAGGTGAGAAAGTGAAGTTGAGGTTACAATCATATCAGTATGATTTTAATAAATGGCAAAGTAGGCTCAAGGGGCCAAGTGCCTAATCCTGCTTCTAACTCATATGCTTGTATTAGAACAGGTGACTTGTTTTGACTTTATCCTCAGGAAGAGACAGACTAACAGAAAAGGTTAGGTTAAGGGTTGCTAGTAACTCCCAGATTGGAATTGTACAATCTGTTTTTGCCTATGAAATGTAACTTAAAGGAATTTTGTTCCTGCAGTGTTTTATTGCAGATTATCAAACAAAAATCACTCAAGACTGTAAATCAAAATGTAAAGCAAGCCTTGAACCTCAGATTCAACTGGTGAAACATGGCTGGCATAAAGGTGAATTATGCAAATATGAGAGTGAAAAGATTGTGCAGTGCATAGTCAGATGATAGTGGGTTATTTGTGAAAATTTTGGAATGGGTGAATATTACTGGGTAGAGGTTTCATGGTCATAAAGGGTGGTGAAGTTGAGCAGACAGATGTAGTAAGAGAGAATTAGCAGATAGAACTGAGTAGTGAATCACACCATACGAGGGCTTGAATTTGATGGTGCCAGCAGTCCAAGAGGATTGCAATGCACAAGCTTACAAGAGAATAGCAACAGAAGAGCTCACACAGGTGATGTAAATAAACCATTGCAAATAACAGAGACAGTGCTGAAAGGGCAGGAAGACAGGCAATCAGAATTATGTAGAGGTGAAAAGAAGGAAACATTACAGCAGAATAATCCAGAAGAGATGGATCCAGCAACATGTTGATGATATATTGGTAACTGCAAGTCTGGATGAAATTGTCCTATTCTGTGCTCAGTAGCTTGTGAATTTACACCCATTAAAATTAATGGGCAGAAAATCATAGATTGATGAGCAGAGCAGTGATAAGCCCCAGCCTTCAAATATCTGATTTATTGTATATTGCGCCATGAGAGATTTGCGAGTGAATAAAAGATTACTTTGATGTCTCCGTTCTGCTGAAGCATGAATTGCATCTCCAAGAATGCTGAAGTACAATATCTATGATACTACTCGTTTTGTTTCTATTTTTAACAATTTAATTCCCAGTGAACACAGTGACAGAGATAGTAGTCATAATATCTATAACTTTACAGAAGGTGGTTGTTTAATAAATTTAATGTCATAAAGTCTCCAAGAATCATTACCGGACCAGTTTTCCATTCTTACATATTTTAAATATGTAGCATTTACTGTTGGCATGCATTAGCAATGAGGTCATTTAAATTACATCAGTGTATGTTTTGGATAGTCATAGTGATACAAATTACACACAAGGTGCATGATGTCCTTGTCAGTTATTGATCTAACCTTCAGTCTATCATCCTCAGCAATAGCAGAATGCTATTTTCCTCAAATCATTCTAATATTTGAAGACTCTGCTCCATCTCTGGTTTGTCCAAAATAGCAGCAACTTATCGGAGTGCCACACAGTTGAAGTGTAATCAAATCCATCATCTAGAAGTGTAAGAAAATGGCCTTGTATCATGATCAACATGTGTGAAGAAATCTGAAATTACTTTGAATCCAACTCAACAATTCTGATACAATAAAGTAAGTTGCCTTATTCTGCAGGGTTACAGCAATGTACAGAATTTTATGGTCCCTTGCAGGCAGGGTGGGCCCATAAAATTTTGTGGGTAAAGTTCCCAGTGTGCATCTGCCCATCTGTAAAGAAATTTTCTAATCAACTTGTTCAGACATGTCATACACAACTCTGGAGCAGGTTGGATTTGAAACCAGGCCTCCTGGCTCAAAGGTAGGAAGGTAACCACTGTGCCAGAAGAACCCCTTGCCCACACCAAAGCCTTCTGCTATTTCATATATTTTCCTAAGCAACCATGAGGTGTTATTACGTACCTCTGGAGCCAGTAGAACTTGAACCCAGGCGTCCTGGCCCACAGGACACTACTACTGTATCACAAGAGTCCCTGAAATGTTGTTACACACCTCTAGAACAGGTAGGACTTGAAACTAGGCCTTTAGGCTCAGAGTAATACTAAGCATAATACCACAAGAGCCCCATCCCATCTTTAAAGATATTTTCTAACCAACCTCTTCAGAGATATGATTACACACCTCTGAACAGGTGGAGTTTGAACCCAGGTCTCCTGCTTCAGAGGTAAGGATGCTATCACGTGCCACAAGAGCCCTAAGATGCCCATCTCTAAGTTTTCTTCTATATACCCAGAAGTGCTATCACACACAAGTGAGTGACTTTCCCATCAGCAAAATCACTGCGACTCTTTTTTTATTTATTTCCTTTTAATCACTAACCATCACCAATTTAAAACACCTATGCAACCAATTAAATATTTACAAGCAAACACAAGAACTAGGAGCAGGAGTAGGCCATCCGGCCCTTCGAGCCTGCTCCGCCATTCAATAAGATCATGGCTGATCTTTTCGTGGACTCAGATCCACTTACCTGCAATCTCACCGTATCCCTTAATTCCTTTATTGTTCAAAAAAAATCTACCTTATCTTTAAAAGCGTTTACTGAAGTAACGTCAACTACTTCACTGGGCAAGGAATTCCATAGATTAACAACCCTCTGGGTGAAGAAGTTCCTTCTCAATTCAGTCCTAAATCTGCTCCCTCTAATCTTGAGGCTATGCCCTCTCGTCCTAGCTTCACCTGCCAGTGGAAACATCCTCTCTACTTCTATCTTATCTATTCCCTTCATAATTTTATATGTTTCTATAAGATCCCCCCTCAATCTTCTGAATTCCAATGAATATAATCCCAATCTACTCAGTCTCTCCTCATAAGCCAACCCCCTCAACTCCGGAATCAACCTAGTGAACCTCCTTTGCACCCGCTCCAGTGCCAGTACATCCCTTCTCAAGTAAGGAGTCCAAAACTGCACACAGTACTCTAGGTGTGGCCTCACCAGCACCTTGTACAGCTGCAACATAACCTCTCTGCTTTTTGTTTCAATCCCTTTAGCAATGAAGGACAAAATTCCATTTGCCTTCCTAATTACTTGTTGTACCTGCAGACCTACCTTCTGTGATTCATGCACAAGGACACCCAGGTCCCTCTGCATAGCAGCATGCTGCAACTTTTTACCATTCAAGTAATAATCCTTTTTACTATTACTCCTACCAAAATGTATGACTTCACATTTATTTACATTGTATTCCATCTGCCAGACCTTTGTCCACTCACTCAATGTATCTATGTTCCTCTGCAAAGTTTCACAGTCCTCTGCACACTTTGCTCTGCCACTCATCTTAGTGTCATCTGCAAACTTTGACACCCTACACGTGGTCCCCAGCTCCAAGTCATCTATATAAATTGTAAATAATTGCGGTCCCAACACCGATCCCTGAGGCACATCACTAGTCACTGACTGCCAGCTAGAATAGCACTCATTTATCCCCACTCTTTGCTTCCTGTTAGTCAACCAATCCTCTATCCATGCTAATACTTTACCCTTAACGCCATTCATCCTTATCTTATGCCTCTTGTGCGGCATCTTGTGGAAGGCCTTTTGGAAATCTAGGTACACCACATCCACTGGGTCCACATTGTCCACCTTGCTCGTAATGTCTTCATAGAATTGCAAAAGATTTGTCAAGCATGACCTGCCCTTCATGAACCCATGCTGCGTCTGCCCAACGGGACAATTTCTATCAAGATGCCTTGCTATTTCTTCCTTGATAATAGACTCAAGCATCTTCCCCACTACAGAGTTTAAGCAAACTGGTCTATAACTCCCCATCTTTTGTCTACTTCCCTTTTTAAACAGTGGTGTCACATTTGCTGTTTTCCAATCTGCTGGGACTGCCCCAGAGTCCAGCGAATTTTGTAAAATTACCGCCAGTGCACCTGCTATTTCTCTCGCCATCTCTTTTAGTACACCGGGATGCATTCCATCAGGGCCAGGAGACTTATCAATCCTTAGCTCCATTAGCTTGCCCAACATTACCTCTTCCGTGATAATGATTGTTTCCAGGTCCTCACCTACCTTCGTCTCTTTGTCAATTACTGGCATGTTATTAGTGCCCTCCACTGTGAAGACCGATACAAAATACCTGTTCAATGCCTCGGCCATTTCATCATATCCCATAACTAAATTCCCCTTCTCATCCTCTAAAGGGCCAACGTTTACTTTAGCCACTCTTTTTCATTTTATATATTTATAGAAACTTTTGCTATCTGTCTTTATATTCTGTGCTAGTTTTTTCTCATGTTCTATCTTACTTTTCTTTATAGCTCTTTTTGTGGCTTTCTGTTGACCTTTAAAGTTTTCCCAATCTTCTAGTTTCATGCTGTTTTTGGCCACTTTTTATGCCTTCTCTTTCAATTTGATAGCCTCCCTTATTTCTTTAGACACCCATGGCAGATTACCCCTTTTCTTACAGATGTTCCTTTTCATTGGAATATACTTTTGCTGAGCACTTTGAAAAATTGCTTTGAAAGTCCTCCACTGCTCGTCAACTGTCCCACCATAAAATCTTTGTTTCCAGTCTACTTTAGCAAAGTCCTCCCTCATTCTATTGTAGTTCCCCTTGTTCAAGCACAGGACCCTGGTATTGGATTTTATCTTCACACTCTCCATCTGTATTCTAAATTCAACCATACTGTGATCACTCCTTCCAAGAGGATCCCTAACTATGAGGACATTAATTATTCCTGTCTCATTACACAGGACCAGATCTAGGAAAGCTTGCTCCCTCGTCGGTTCCATTACAAACTGTTCAAGAAAACTATCACGGATACACTCAATGAACTCCTCCTCAAGGCTACCCTGACCGAGCTAGTTCGACGAATCTACATGTAGATTAAAATCCCCCATGATAATTGCCGTACCATTTTTACAGGCATTAGTTATTTCTATGTTTATTGCCCATCCCAATGTGATGTTATTAATTGGTGGCCTATAGACTACACCTATCAGTGACTTTTTCCTCTTAGGATTTCTAATTTCCACCCAAATGGATTCAACCTCATTCTCCATAGAACCTATATCATCTCTCAGCATCATCCTGATGTCGTCCTTGAATATCAGAGCTACACCACCTCCCTTATCTTCCTGTCTGTCCTTCCGAATAGTCTGGTACCCTTGGATATTTAACTCCCAGTCGTGACCATCCTGTAACCATGTCTCCGTAATGGCTACCAAATCATATTCGTTCGCGATGATTTGTGCCGTTAACTCATCAACCTTGTTACGAATGCTACGAGCATGCAGGTAAAGTGCCTTTATGCTAACTTTCTTACCCTCATGATTTCCAACATCTCTAATAATATCTCCTGAGTTATCCTTCCTTTTTGTTTCTTTCATAGTCTGCCTTGAACTTAAACCCTCCTGCACACATGCTAACCTGCTTCTTACCTTTTTATTTACCATCATACTCCCTGTCGTTTTCCCTTTCCCTTCCCCCCCAACTCACTAGTTTATCGTCCTAGTGACCACCTTATTTATCCTTTTCACTAGAACACTGATTCCAGATCGGTTCAGGTGGAGACCGTCCCATCGGTACAGATCCCTCTGGTTCCAAAACTGATGCCAATGCCCCATGACATGAAACCCCTCTTTCCCACACCACTCCCTTAGCCACGTGTTTACTTCCCTAATTTTCTTATCCCTAAGCCAATTTGCACGTGGCTCGGGCAGTAATCCGCAGATTATGACCCTCGAGGACCTGTTCCTTAATTTCGTTCCTAGTGCTTGATAATCCCCAAACAGGTCCTCCATCCTAGCCTTGCCTATGTTGTTAGTCCCAATGTGGACCACAACAACTGGATCCTCCCCCTCCCGCTCCAATATCCTTTCAAGCCGATCAGAGATGTCCTGCACCCTGGCACCGGGCAGGCAACACACCATGCGGGACTCCCGATCCGGCTTGCAAAGGATACTATCTATCCTCCTAACTATAGAATCCCCTATAACCACCACTTGTCTATTTGCTCCCCCCTCTTGAATGGCCTTCTGCACCATGGTGCCGTGGTGAGCTGGCTCATCCTCCCCGCAGCCCTTTTCCTCATCCACACAGGGAGCAAGTATCTCGTACCTGTTGGATAAGGTCAAAAGCTGAGGCTCCTCCACTCCTGAACTCAGGATCCCCCTACCTGCCTCACTTGCAGTCACACCCTGTTGTCCCCGATCACTAACTGAATTTGAATTACTTAATCTACCAGGTGTGACTGCCTCCTGAAACAAAGCGTCCAGGTAACTCTCCCCCTCCTGGATGTGCCGCAGTGTTTGAAGCTCAGATTCCAGATCTTCAACTCTGAGCCGGAGTTCTTCCAGCAACCAACACTTGCTGCAGATGTGGTCACTGCCGTTCACAATGGGATCAGCCAGCTCCCACATCATACAGCTACAGCACATCACCTGCCCAGCCATCTCTACTTAGTTAATTACTTTATTACTTTATATCAGCCGCTGCCCAAATATATTCCCGGCAGCCCCCGTGGTCCTCGCTGTCGCCTCTCCCACTGCTGCTGAAAAATGAAAGCCCTCGAAGGGCAATGCAGACTATAAAAATGGGGGTGTAGGGAGAGTGGCAAGGGACTAAATCAAAATGGAGTTAGAGAGGGAAATAAAAGCACTGTACCCACCCCCACAATGCCTACCTCTAAAAGCATCAAGAAATTTGATGGACACTGCGTGCTCCTTCTCCAATGACACCCAACCTCAAACATAACCATAGAAGACAGGCAGACAATCAGCAGAGATCACCGACTCTCCACAGCTTGCTGCCTGGACTTGTTTATAGCACCCCTCACTCCCCCAATTCAGTCCTCCTACTTTGAATCTGCTGAGAACTCTCCACCCTCAAACTAACCTATTATCCAGCACCTGGCCCTTTACCTTCACAGCAAGATGCAGGCTGACAGCTCTCTGATATGGGGCAACCTCTCCAGGTGGTTGCCAGGCCAGGAAGTATAATAATTGTGTGTCTGTGTCTGTGTATATATGTATATGTATGCATGTATGTAAGTAAGTCCTATCAGAGCAGGGGTACATTTTATTTTCAGTAGTGGAACAGGAGCCCTGGCCTTCTATATAATCCTGCCATGTTTGATAATCTAACATTAAATGAATATGCTATGGCATAGCAATGATAAATCATTCTACTCACAATAGTCCTTATATTCACTTTTCTCCAGTTGTTTCTGCTCCCTTTCAAGTAGGACAATTTCCACACATTGGGGTATTTTACAAAATCTGTCCCATTTCAATAAATTTGGCTACAGTTTATAATCTAGCCTAGCAACAATTTAGAACATAGGGTCTTGTATGTCTTTTTAAAGATCACAATATGGTTTTAGTTACTTGATTTAATTGGATTCGCCCTCTAATAATTGGCTGGTTTGGTGTTTTAGTTCCCTAACAGCAATCATCTACTGCTGTGCTCGACCTAGACAGGAATGTGCTGAGTATGCAAACACTGTTTTGATTATCTTTAACACCTAAATTATACTTTCTGGCCTGGCAATAATTAGGTAGAAAAATTATGAATGTTTTGAAAATATGTCCAAAATCTATGCAGATGTTTTTTTGCAGAAAGTGTTTCTATTTTTACTAAAATAATACAACTAACTTTAAAGCCATTTCAGCCTTCACTTAAACTATAGGCTAATATCAGTTTGACAGAGTAATATTAAATCAACTTGAATTCAAATTTGTTATCAAATCTAAACCCTTATTGACCATCAAGTTGCACTATCTATAGGCTCTATTAATTCTCTGATACCCTGCCTACTTCTTGCTTCCTGTTTCCATCAACAATGACTCAAATTCTATACTTTTATTTCTCTTAGTTCTCTTAATTCATTAATGGCTGCTATTCTGTTCTCATAACAACAATTAGAGCCGTTGTTTGCTCAGTAAATTTGTAATAAAATCAGTAGTTCACTTGTTATTGAGATTTGTGATATAAAGTGCCAGGATAACTTTGAAGTGAGCTGCTCCAGGCCATGTTCAAAATATAGGCCCACAGTTGCATTCAGCTGTTAAGTGGCTGGGTTCACAAAATCAAGCAAGTGCTCTGGCATGGATTTCACTTTCCTTGCAAATCATTTTAGTCTGGTGAGGGAAAAGTAACGCCAAAGAGGCTAAGCAGTCAACCATATTCAAGAATTTTCACATAGAAATATAGGAGCAAGATTTGGGCATTCAGGTCCTGTTCGGCCATTCTAGACTGTAGCTGATCACCTACCTCAATGCCATCTTCCTGTACTAACCTCGCATCCTTTGTTGTCATTGCTGACTAGAAATCTAGCAATCTCTACCTTGAATTTAATAATGACTGAGCTTCCACAGTCCTTTAGGTAAAGATATCAAGGATTCACCACCCTCTGGGTGAAGCCAGACCTCCTCATCTCAGTCCTAAATGGTTTACCTTTTCTTCTGAGACTGTATTCCTGGGTTCCAGATCTCACAACCGGTGGAAACATTTTTTCTACATCTCCACTGTTTTTCTAATTAAATGTTTGTAAGTTTCTATGAGATTTATCTCACATTCTTCTACACTCCAGAGATTGGACACCCAATCTCCTCAATTTCATAATCCCAGGAATCAATCTGGTGAACCTCTGCTGCATATCCTCCATGGCAAGTATGTCCTTCCTTAGGCAAAGTGACCAGAACTGCGCACAGTGTGCCAGGTCCAGCCTAAACAGTGTTTTATACAATTGAAGCAAGTTTTCTTTCCTCTTGTACTTAAATCACCTTGCGATAAATGCTAACATAATGTTTGCCTGCTGAACTACTTCCTGAACTACCTGCATGCAAGCTTTCATCGACTGTTGGATCAGGACATCCAGCTCTCTATAGCTATCAACCCTTTCCAATCTCTCACCTTTCAAGAAGTACCCCGCACCTCCATTCCTCCTAAACTCACTATTATCGACAATGTATTCTATCTGCTATGTTCTTGCACACTCAGTCAGCCTAACTGCACTTGAAGTCTCTTTGAATCCTTCCTAGACAACAAACCAGGAAGCAACACATAGGTTTTATCATGCATTTCTTATAAATTTACAAGAAACAACATACATATTATACAAATACAATTAAAAGTAGAAACTGAAATACTAAATTATTTCTTCTTGAGGTGACATCCTTGATTATTTACAGGTTGCTGATCCAAGGATTGTGTCATAATTTTACTCTGGGGCAGGGACAGGAAGCTGGCTCCATGTTTACCTCAGCCAGAATGATGATTGAACCTTGACTGGCCTTGCAAAATATTACATAAAAACTTCTAAAAAATAATATTACTCTAAGAATCTATAGCAATTTTATTACTTGATAAAATAAATGACAAATCACAAATCTCAAATTAGTTTTTCAGAGACAGAGGTTGTTTAAAAGCAATTAGGATTTAATAAATTGCTAAAAAGAAAGTATCATTATGAAACTTCTTTGCACGTTCAAGATTTTCTACAGTGAGAATAATAGCTTAAAAGAAGATATTAATGTCAGTTCAGCATGTTCTAATTGATTTCCATCTGTGAGCTCTTCAGTAATGCATCCTGGAGAGGAATGGGGGTTCACTGACAGCAACTTTTTGATTTCTGAGTTTACCTGTGAATGTGTGGATGGTAGAGATTACTGTCACTTTGGAAGAGTGAACACTGACAAATTTCACTACCTTTACAACTGCAACATCTGAGCTACCGATTCATCATTTAATTTGTGGTACTAAATGTTGGATCAGTTATTTATATTCTGGCTAAGTAATTGACTACCTCCAACACTGGTGTACTGAGGCTGTGGAATGTATGTTCTATGCACTGCAGTAACTCACCAGGGTCACTTCAACACCACCACACTCCCAACATCTTACAACACCAAGGAGGACAAGACCAGCAATATCTCAGGTATAAGACAAGCTCTACTCTGAGTTACACACCATCCTGACTTGGTCATGTGTGTTACTTCATTGTCACTCCTTGAAAGTCTCTGCAAAGAAGAATCATTGTTAGGTGATCAACACCAAAAGGACTGCAACAGTTTGTGGAAGTATCACCACTTTTTTCTTAGGACAAGTAGGGATGGGAAATAAACGTAACCTTGCTACTATTGGCCACTGCAGAAATCATGAAAACAGAATTATTGTTCTTAATATGAATCTTGATTGTGTCTAAATCAGAATGCACTCTTAATATTAAAACAGATCATTGGTAAATACTTTTGATAGCATGATTTTGCTTGTGCGCTAACTGTTAGGGTGTAGTTTAAAATTAGATCATTGGAATGAAATTCATGTATGTTTAAATTTGAGAAGAATCAATGCTGAATCAGAAAACATTAAATTATGTTACCCAGCGCTTTCCCAGTTTATTGACTTGCTATGATTTCAAAGGAAATGAATCTCAACATACCAGAGGAGTGACTGCTTTTTCACTGCTGGGAAACTGGCTGTACATCATAACATGGGGAGTTGGACACTCCTCGCAATGTTGATGTTGATCATACAGTACACTTGATAAAATCTTTTTAAAAAATAGCCCTGTTTTGTTGGCTGAGTCCCAAAGAATACTTGTTTTCCTGGTATTAACAGAGAAACTGAGTAAGAATAAAGGAATATTGTTTACCTCTGTTCGCTGATAAAATTCAACAGGAATCTGTGTTGTCAAAAATGTTACTATGTAGCCCTGCTCAATGAACATTCAGCTGTGAAAGTGGCTCTCACTGGACCGACATTGGAACTCAGCTTGAGGATCTCTGTGGGATTAGAAGGTGCCTCCTCAGAGGATAGCCCTTGTCACTCAGAATTTAGGTGGGATAGAAGAGCAGGCTTGATGCCTGGAATTTGAAGGAGCTGTAGCAACTTCCTGGAAAGCAAATAAAAAGTTTGTTTGGATGGAAATGCAATGATGCAACGGTCATGCCACATCTACCAGGAGGCACACACACACTGTAGGCAAACATGTTAAGTTTACTTCAATAAAGACTTCATGTTAAACACATTGTACATATAAATCACAGGCCCAGGATGGACACGTCACCCAGGGAGTGGGAGGGGGAGTTAAAAAGGTTTGTGACCGGAAGGTGTTGTCGTTTGTCGGGTACAGAGCGCAGATGCTCTACAAAGCGGTCTCTGAGCCTCCACTTGATCTCACTGATGTAAAGGAGGCCACATTGGGAGCAGTGGATGCAATAGACCACATTGACGGATGTGCAGGTGAACCTCTGTCTGATGTGGAAGGTTTGTTTGGTGCCTTGAATGGAGGTGAGGGGGGAGGTATAGGGGCAGGTATAGCACTTCCTGTGGTTGCAGGGGAAGGTGCTGGGGATGGTGGGGCTAGTGGGGAGTGTGGAGCTTACATTGGTGAGACCAAGCAGAGGCTCGGAGACCACTTTGTAGAGCACCTGCACTCTGTTCACAACAAACGACAACACCTTCTGGTCACGAGCCATTTCAGCTCCCCCTCCCACTCCCATTCCCTGGGCGACATGTCCATCCTGGGCCTCCTCCAGTGTCACAGTGATGCCACCCGGAAACTGGAGAAGCAACACCTCATATTCTGCCTTGGGAGCCTACAGCCCAATGGCTTAAATGTGGATTTTACCAGTTTTAAAATCTCCCCACCCCCAGCCTCATCCCATGAACAACCCTCCATCTCATCCCCGCCTCCTTGACTTGACACAACCTGTCCATCTTCTCTCCCACCTATCCGCTCCTCCCACCTCACTGACCAATCCCCACCACTCCCTACCTGCACTCACCTGTCACCATCCCACCTGCGTTCCCCAGCCCCACCTCTCCTCTCTATTTATTTTTGAGCTCCCTTCCCCCTCCCCCATTTCTGAAGTAGGGTCCTGACCCAAAACGTCAACTTTCCTGCTCCTCTCATGCTGCCTGGCCTGCCGTGTTCCTCCACCTTCTCACTGTGTTATCTATGAAGCAAGACTGGATTTTCTTCCATAGACAATGGCAGAATTATGAAATAATAACAGATTTATTGAGCAAACCAGAACAGATTGAAGTTGCTATATTTTCACTATTGGTGTTCCAAAACATATTCCACCCTAAATCTTTCTGAAGAGCAGAAAAAACATAACAGTAATTTAAAAAACCCTTCTAGGCACATTCAGAACTTTTTTGAATGTTATGTGTGAATAGTATGTACTCAATACTAAGGAACAAAGTGAAAAAAGAATCCATTGATCAATATGTAACATCATTGACACAGCTCACAGAAGCCTGTGAATTTGCAAAATTAAAGATAAGATTGTATTAGGCATACAGGATCATGAAGTGAAAGCACACCTACTGAGAGAGCAATCTTCATCCAGTCGTATGTGTTTGTGCAATGATAGTTCTGTGCTTGGCTACCATGTTCATTAGTTAAGTAGTCAACTGAAAGACACTATTAAAGACTACACATAAGTAAAGGTATTGGGGAAAGTACAGATGGTGAATGATGTTCATGAATCAAACTTACCAATATTTCAATAGTAATTACTTCCACTGTCTTCTGTGGAGCCTGTTACTTAAATTAATCAAACCCTCAGTGAAGTATTGAACAGAATCTTACCAGAGGTGGCTTTGGAGGTGAGACAGGCAGGGCAGTGTCTGCCTGGCAGTGGTAAGTAACTAGTTATCAGCAGTTAGGTGCACACTTAGGTTCAAATTGGTGATGGCCCTGCAAGCTTGCTATTGAGACTAAAGTCCAGCAGCTGACTGGAGGTGACCTCCAAGGAGGACCACAATTGTTGCTCCTGCTCCTCAACGATAGCCTCGTAGCTATATTCGCAATTTACTCAACCTTCTTTTGAAGTGTTCAGAGTAGTCCTCCACCCTAAAGACCCCTCATGGTCTTCCTCATACATGGGCAAGTCTCCTAGAGATCCTGGCAGACACCCAGAGCATAAGATGCTCCCATAGATCCTCTTGCCATGCTCCATAAGACAAGGCAGTTGGAGGTACCCTGTCATTTTGTCACCTCTAGTAAAACAACAAGCAGGTGACCCTCAAACCCTGGAAATGACCTAAAATTTGTTTAAAAGTTAGGTAATAAGTTTCTGTCAGTTTTTTTTTTAGTTTTGAAAAGGTTCTGTCAGTTTTTTTTTAGTTTTGAATTTATTCCTCCAGCAAACCTTTAACAGCAGTTAGCAAACAGCAATGGTCCATAAACCAGATTATATGGTCAATATTCTTGCTACCTTAGTTTAAGTCACGTGTCTGAAGTCCTGCTGCATTAGTCACCACATTATGAGCTGTTAACAGCTGTGCTACAAGCAACAGCCTGTCAAAATCTGGCTTCAAATCTCCCAGCTAATTCCTCTTGGCTTATATTTTAATATTTACCTTGGACTATGTCCTCCTTACATGTCAGGACTGTAACAGCCACAATTTCCAGATTCTGTCTCCCACTGTGACCATTTTGTAGGTTTGAGCAAAGGTAGTATTTGAAACCATCTGCTTCTGTGTACGTGTCCAAGATGTTAAGCAATAACATCAGTAAAGTACAACAATGTTACTGTAGAAAGGTGTTCCTGCTCATTTCATTTCTAGGCAAATGTTTAAAGATATAAATTGACAAATTTTGGATAATAACTTTACTAAATAAGTGATTAAGCATCATGGGGGCAATTGCTAAATTTCGACAACCTATTTACAAGATTTTTTGAATTGGTGCCATATTTCAATTGCAGGATATTGCTGCTGTTCAAATGTTGTTTACATCTGATCACCCACTGCCAACAATGCACCGTTTGGGATTTTTAATGAGTCTTTCTTTTTTTTCGATAAACCAGTGGAAACTCTAAATTAGTCATGCTGCAGACAATCTCTGCTGTTTTTGTTATAATACATAACTTCTAATATTTGAACCTTTATGAAAATGATGAGACAAGTCCTAACTAATGTTCTGTTAATGGGAATCTTGATTGTCATAAATTGGGTGGAATCTCTCTCATCCCTGAATAATGTGGACCATGGCAGAAAAGTTGGGAAAATTGGGTGAGATATTCAGCGAGGACCTTTTTGATGTTGAGAGAAGGCAATCCCATTTTCCAGCCAAATATTGAATGGTAAGATGAGACTCTTGTTAGTGAGTGGCAAGACACTGATTATTGTAGATTATCACTCATTAAAACCCTAATCACTACCTAATCTCATCTCATTGATATGCAGTTTCCTATTCTCTCACCTGCGAGGTAGAAACTAGATGCTGAGGATTATGAACACAAAAGTCAGAGCAGTCCAGCTCACCTACTGCTCCTCTGGACTTTCATCTTGAAACACCTGGTATTAGCATCTCAAGGCACATACTGAGGACAGTGAATGCACTCTCCACGGAGCTTGGTTTCTAATGCTACCAGCTTAACCACAATGTTATGGCATATCTTTGATCGACTAATGTAAAGCTCTGAACTTCAGTGCTGTACTTTTCAGTGCACTGGCATCTGTCATTGCAATGCTGCTGCAAAGACACTCTTTGTACAGGGAGTGGCACCCAGCTCATGGATTGGATCAGATAGCATTTCAGGGCTGCTTGCTTGTTATCATGGTGCTCACTCAATTTGTGTTTATTTCGATGCTCCCAGCATTCCTGCCTTGCTTTGCCACTGCTTCGCCTCCCCAGGTGCACCTTAAATGACTCCATTATGCAACCTGCTGACTGAGGTGGAGCATAGATACAATGTAGCTCATACTTCAACCAGAGTGATTGTGGATAATACGATAAACCTTCTAGAGATGGGATTCTGCTGCTTGAATCACTCTGGGAGAGGGTAGTGGGTTTTGTAGTGCACTCCAGATAGGTAATGCCTCATAATTCTAGCATGCTATGCTCTGCACAACTGGAGTAGGATTAGAGGGGATGTGAGACAGCTAGAGCAGTCATCCAATGACAAAGATGAGAACATTGAGCAGGAAGTAAGTAACTTCCTGCATGATAGAATGCAGCAGTGTCAGGCACAAAAAGCCAGACACAACTTAATTGATACCCAGCTCCTAAAGAACTCGGGCGGGTATCCATTAGGTGCTGCGGTCCATCAGTAAAAGCAGAATTGTATTCAGCCATGATGTGTAACCTCATGTCCCAGCACATCCTTCACTCCCCCATTACTATCAAGCTAAAGATCAATCCTGGTTCAATGAGCAGTGCACAAGTGTATGTCAGTCTTCATCCAATTTGACACACTCCATGTGACATCAAGAAATGGCTGAAGGCATTGGGTACTGCAAAGGCTACAAGCTGTGAGAACTGAATACTTGTGATTTAAAACTAGCTGTGCCCGAGGCCAAGCTGTTCCAGTACAGCTACAACAGGGCACCTACCCAAAATTGTGGAAGATTGCATAGGTATGTGCTGTACACAAAAAGCAGGACAAATCCACTCCGGCCAATTACTGACCTTTAGTCTACTCTAGATCATCAGCAACATGAAGAAAGGTATCATCATCAGTGCTGCCAAGTGGCACTTGCACAGCATCCACCTGCTCATTCATGTTAAAGTTGGTTTCCACCAGGGCCACTCAACTCCTGACCTCTTTACAGGTCTGGTCTTGAACTCAAGAGGCAAGTTGTAAAAACCTGATCTTGACACAAAGGAGCCCTAGCAAAATTGAAGACAGTGGGAATCTAGGGGAAATCTCTGCACTGATTGAAATCATATCTAGCATTCAGGAAGATGTTAGTAGTTATTGCAGGGCAATAGTCTGAGTCCTAGCATATTACATCAGGAATTCCTAAGGATAATGTTTTATACCAAATCATCTTTAGCTGATTCGTCAGAAACAGCATTAACTATGACTTTGTCGGTGGTGCTGCTGGCTTGATTTGCTGGCAGCTCTGTCTGGGAGGAACATCATATTCTGGGGT